TTTATACACAAATTTAAATATTTTATTTATCGATTGAGGCACTACGAAGTCTGCCGGGTCAGCTAGTTACTCATAAAAAAAAGGTTATAAAAACTGGCGTTTTCTAGCTTGTTCTATGGCTCCGACTGGTTCCTTTACACGAAACACCGTTACTATAAATGCTTTGTCTCTTTCTTTTGTACGATATTAGAAATATATACCTATGTGTTTTTCGGTACGTTATCTATTTATTTTTGCTTTACAACTGCTCGATTAATTTGACCCCTGGCATTATCGATATAACAGGAAACTAATATAGATTTTATTTGTAAACCTAAATTGAAACTGCGAAATTGTTGATGACTAGCACTGAATTATTGAAAAAGACCTCTGAGAAGATTTCGAATCAGGTTCGAAAATCAGTCTTTCGTAATTTTGGGCCAAGTAGACGTATTACATGCCGACGAGCTCAAGGTCTATGTTAAGTGGACATCATAACGTGACTGACGACAACATAAGCCTTAAATTGAAGTCTCAACAGTACAATAGCTGTTCCACGCGTCAAACCAGAATACTTTTTTTTTTATTGCTTAGATGGGTGGACGAGCTCACAGCCCACCTGGTGTTAAGTGGTTACTGGAGCACATAGACATCTACGACGTAAATGCGATACCCACCTTGAGATAGAAGTTCTAAGGTCTCAGTATAACAACGGCTACCCCACCCTTCAAACCGAAACGCATTATTGCTTCACGGCAGAAATAGGCGTGGTGGTGGTACCTACCCGTGCGGACTCACAAGAAGTCCTACCACCAGTAAACATTACATTAATGTCAAATATATCTTTATTAAAAGTACTAACTATGGTCAAGTACACTAGGACTAGCCCCTCTCAGTTTCTCGCCGGATCTTCTCAGTGGGCCGCGTTTCCGATCCGGTGGTAGATTCTATGAAGCACTGCTCTTGCTAGGGCTAGTGTTACCAAATTTATTAGGTTAGGGCCTCGTGAGCTTACCTACTCGCTCAATGTATCTGGTAACCACTGCGGAGGCAGTCGATTTTAAAGCTTGATGGTAAATAACAAAAAAATCTGGAAATGCACAAGAATACACGGAAATACAGTGGTTCTGGGTAATCTGATTAAACTTTGCTCCAGTATCGGGTTGCACCATTTTAACCATTTTTACTTATTGTCAATGATGAAAAGGGTAATCACATAATTTCCGACTATTATAATTTAAAAAAAATTAAACAATGACTACTCTTTAACACACTGTGAACACAATTAGCAGTCAAATAATAATTGAAAAAAATATATAAAAATGTATTGCTGTTCGTTAGTCTCGCTAAAACTAGAAAACGGCTGGACCGATTTGGCTTATTTTGCTCTTGAATTATTTGTAGAAGTCCAGAAAAGGTTTAAAAGGTAGATAAATATAAAAATGCTCAGAATTAAATAAAAATAACAATTTTGTTTTTCATATGAGGGCCACGTCGGACGGATTCCTTTTGTTTGTTTTAAGTTTATTTTATACAAAAGTTTAGTCTTTTATTTATCGATTTAGGCACTAAGAAGTCTGCCGGGTCAGCTAGTCATTGAAAAAAAATACAATGTAAAAGATTAGGGAGATAAATAATAGTAAAGGAAATACAAAAAGATTACAGAAAGCACTCCTCAAATGTATTTGTCAAATATCCGTCCGCTAATGGCAAAGAACCCACTGAGCTCTCTACAGATGAACAAAGTCAGACGCCAATACAGACCTTGAACGCTGTATATATGTTTCTACTGTTTGGAAAAAAAACTGGCTAATAATATTTTGACTGAGATTAAGGTGACGCAAGAAGACCTTTCACCTTAGGTACCACCACGGGTGGGTACCACCGTCCTGTCTATTTCTACCGCCACAACAGTTGTACTGTGTTCCGGATTGAAGAGCAGGATAGCCGGCTGTGGAGAGTACTTAACGGTAGGCAGCGGCTTGGCTCTGCCCCTGGCATTGCTGAAGTCCATGGACGACGGTAACCACTCACCATCAGGTGGGCCGTATGCTCGTCTCTCTACAAGGGCAATAAAAAAAATAAAAAATACCTAACATCTCATGTTGAGTGTACCTCTGCTCCAGTATATTTTATATACTTAAAAGCTGCTGGTGGAAAGAATATTTATGGGTTTTCCGCTACTTATTCGTTGGAAGCTTAAAGAGCTATTACAGCTATGCGCGGATGGATAAGTGAGCTCACGGGGTCACTATGAGAGAATTTGCTAACACTGGCTCTATCAAGAGCAGTGTTTCCCAGAATAAGAGGGTATAAGAGGGTTATCGTGCCGCGGCGCTTTGTGGAAGAGATACTAGCAGTGGTGTTGAAAGGGCGACCCCTTTTAACGAGCACGGCTGTGCTTTTCGCCGGGTCGATATCTATGCGCCACTTTCGGAACCACTGTACCTAAATTGGTGACCGCGATCTGTAGTATCGTCTTTAATTCGTCGTTGTTGATTTTAGTTTTTGGTCGACCACGGGGTTAGTTTTTATGTCGGAAGAATTCATACGAATAACGTGTTGTGCGTTCGTCCTCCATACCCGTCATTAATATCGTGAGTCGTTTGTGCGGCATTGTTAGCGCGAAAGAACTTGTATTCCACAATTCCAAGAATCCATATTGGTTAAAAAGGCACAAATGTTTCGGTGCATTTAGGCGCCTTATGCACCGGTGACCGCCCTCGGAGAACTCGGCGATTACGACGGAGAGTTCGGCAAACGATTAACCCATAGACACAGCCTACGGAGTTTCTCGCTGGATCCTCTCAATGGGTCGCGATTCCAATACGGTGATAGATTCTGCGAAACACTTCTCTTGCTAGGGCCATCATTAGCAAATTCTCTCAGGTTGTGCCCGTGAACTCACCTAACGGTCCGCGCGTAACTGGAATAGTCCCTTAATCTACCAGCAGATACGTAGGAAAAAAAATACAAATGTATCGAAAATAAAACACTAATCAATAAACAAATGACTGATTTTGAAAATAGAATTCCATATTTTTAAAATATTATTCATTTTTTTTTGTGTCTATGGCCTTGTATTGTACCTTTGGGCAAATATATCATTCATTTCATATTAGAATGTATTGCCAGTCATAAATTACGATTCAAATGACCAGGAATCATAAAAAGACAACCTCATAGTATAAAATAAGTTTATGGAAATGTAAATTTTATTAAATTCTCCGAAAATTACTACTACTTAAATATTAAATTATAATCATAAAATTTAAGGAATTTTAGCATCGTATATTCTTCATCTATTGTTAGAGGACTTATGGAGTAATTGTTAAACATAACAGGTGCTCAAGATAATTTACATAGTGTGAGTGAGCATTATGGATTTCCAACTGTAATTTGCTTTTGTAAATAATTTTGTATTTATATTTATACTTGTAAAAAACGGTTTCGATATTACGCGATAGTTATAAATATTGAATTAAAAGTATAAATAATAAGAGTAACACAATTTTTAAATATGTTTTGAAAAAGTCAAATAGGCATTGGCAACTTCAATGTTTCTTTGAATGGCATTCAATAAGGGAAATCCCCAACTTTATTGTTACTGAAATATTTATCATTTCATTATGAGAAATGACAGTATGGGTTTTATTATTTGTAAATTAAATTATTAAATTAATGGTTAGTTTAGAAGTTTAATCATAATATGTAATAAATTAAGTTCTAACATTTTTAGTAATGCTAATTCTGAACCTAAAATTTAGATAATGTCAAACATGATCATTAATTCACAAGACAAGCCATTGATTCTAAATGGTAATCTTGTATTTATTTATTTATTTTCTTAGATTGGTGGACGAACTCACAGCCCTCCTGGTGTTAGGTGGTTACTGAGTCCATAGACATCTACAACGTAAATGCACCACCTACCTTGAGATATAAGTTCAAAGGTCTCAATATAGTTTATATTACAACAGCTGTCCCACCCTTCAAATCGAAACGCATTTCTGTTTCACGGCAGAAATATGCAGGGTGGTGGTACCTACCCGTGTGGACTCACAAGAGGTCCTACCACCAGTAATTACGCAAATTATAATTTTGCGGGTTTGATTTTTATTGCACGATGTTATTTTTTTCACTGTGGAAGTCAACCGTGAACATTTGTTAAGTACGTATTTTATTAGAAAAATTGGTACCTGCCTGCGGGATTCGAATACTGCTGCAACGCAAGATACGAATGCACCAGACGTCTTTAGGGCACGACGACTATCGAATTTGTTGTTTTGTATAACATAGTTTCTGTATAGCTCGGAACAAACTAATCATGTTATATGAGGGACGTCTGTATTTGTACTGCAATTCACCATTACTTCACGCTTAATTTCGATGATATTAGTCTTGTTTGTAATAATTGTAATGTAATTTATTTAATTGTGGTGTGTCATATACTAATCATCTACTTGTACTCTAATCTAAATAATAGATTATGCACATGTGATATGATCCACAGATAAAATAAAATTTTCATTATTAGAACAGTAACAGTAATTAATTAATAAGATAAGATTTTTATCAGAGGACAGTTTTGTAAGTCAAACTAAGGTATCAAATTTAAAATATGAAGATTTGTAATTTTGGATGTTGATATTCATAAATGCTCATTTTATGGCCTCCAGCTATGATTTTCTTGTCTACTATGTATGCATTCTAGGAAAACTTACCAGATAAGAACTTGTACATGCTAGCCCCAAATACAAAAAATCTATTCTAAATATTTTTAATTTTTTACTTTAGTATTTTAGTTTATTACTTTTCTTCTGGATGTTTCGCTTTTGTATGTTTTTATTGTATTAATATTATAAGTCTGTTGATCTATGTACATTATAAATATGTTTTGTTGTTGCAGTGATTTGTCCGCGAAAAAAATATTTTTTCATTAAAATTGTAGACAATTTAGATTCAATAACATAACCTAAAAAGAACTGTCAAACGACAAAAAAACTAGAATTTAAGCTTACCTCCTGCTCTTGTAAACGACATTTTTCTTCTAATTCAATAACTTTATTATCAGTTCTAGACGCTTCATCAGCCACATCTTGTCCAGGACCCTCAGACAACACCTCAGAAGCGAAATTAGTAATTTGTCCTTTTAAACTGTTCAAACTCTGATTCAAGTTCAACCACGACATATTTGCAAGCACAACCAACGTCACATATCACTGCAAAGATATTTCAATGGAAATATGTTCAGGAAATCGATATAAACAAAAACAAAATCGCATTATTTTTGCAAATGACAAGACTTTGTACAGTTGGCAAAACAAGACGCCATCTTTTTATTTTGACTTTGATGGTTGAATTTCAATCATGAGTTTGACACTTAAGTCAGCGTGCAATATAGGGGCCAAGGGCCAAGAGTTAGTGCTCTAATGCTCTTTGAAATATTGAATCTAGCATGTTATCATTTTAACAGTGCAGCGGCTTGGCTCTGCCCCTAGTATTGCTGACGTCCATGAGGGACGGTAACCACTCACCATCAGGTGGACCGTATGCCGTATATTGACGCCAAGGTTAATTGAAAAAAGGTATTATGACCCTGAAACGATCAGTGTAGACATAAATTAGAGTTCTTGGAAAAAATTATACATACAATGCGACGACACTGTTGGTGCTCAAATTCTGCAGACCGATACAAATTTCTTCTGAAGAAATACGCAAAAAACTAGTGCTAACAAACGACTTCTGCGATGAAGGAATAACAAGATGTAAAATACAAACCTTCAAAATAAAAAAATCCGAGTTTTTACTGAATGCAGAGCATATTGCACGCTCGTATGGTCCGCTACAAACGTCTTTCCTATTTCTGCCGCAAAGTATTCGTGCTTTCGAGTTGAAAGGATGGAACAGTACCTAGTTAATCAATATAATTAAAATTTCAACCTCATGTCTCAAAGTGGGTGACAATTTTCACATTGTAATGACCTCACCAACAATATAACACAAGCCTGAGCCGGGAGCACAGTCACCCGCCCGCGCAATATAAATAAAATAAAAATATCCCTTCATTTTAATTTCAACCAATCTCATTCACATGTAAACGATTATTTACTATGTAAGTGTTTCAGCTATTTAAACAACTTCTTCATTAAGTTTTCATAATTTTAGTACCTATTGCTACGTCCCCTTTGCCTATACAGTCGAAAAATAGTGCAAAGTCAATAGTAGATTATTTAGTTACTGTTTATTTAATTTTGCCTTGTATTCAGTAAATAAAAGTGCTTTTTATTAAATTTAAATTAAAAAATAGTACATTTCACAAGCCAATACGTCGAGTCGGTTAGCTATCACAAACTTATAATGATTATAAAGTTTTTATTCAATGTAATAATTTTATAACCTCGAAATGGATTATGATTCAATACCGGAGTTCCCTGCATTCAACAGCAATAAATTAGTCAAAACATACCCTAAAGCGAAAAAGTCGCGAATTGTAAAACAGGAAGTTGAGAAACCACAAATACCCATAAGAATTGAAGTGAAAAAAGAGGCTTTGACTTCAAAAAATGCCTTAATTTTTATGCTCGAAGGATGTCTAAAATTGAAAGTATGCCGATATTGCCTTCACGAAACGCCTCTGCTGTCAGAACTGGAGCAAATCTTACAGATAGCCACTCCGAGAGGCATATACAAAATCTCCATTAAGGAAATTATTGCTAGTTTTTATCCCGTCAAGGTAAATATGATTGTTCTTTAAAATAAACTCGATCCAAAGAATTCTCCAATATCATTTTATCTTTTTTTGTCTCCAATGCATATTTCAAATTAACCATATTTTTTTAAGCTACTGTAAATGACATCCTAGAGGAATCTGAAGTCACTAATTTCAGGCAAACACAGGAAAGCAACTGTAAAACAGACAATTCTCATTATTATTTGGGCTATTGTTTAATTTTTGTTTTCACCTATAAAAATGTACCAAACATTATCTTCTACGCTTCTATCTTTTATTAGCTTGTCCTATATCAATCTATGCTATAGAATCTATCTAATAGAATAGTGCAAAATAATTTTCACCAAAGCTGTCTACCAACAATAACTAGGATCAATGATAAAAAATATTTTTTTAGTTTTTAAATTAAATTGTTAATTTATTTAAAAAAACAATATTTCTGTAACTATAATAGCTTTCTCTTTAACAACTTGTAGAATTACAGTGTTGTACTAATATATTCACAAGTGTTGGAGTTAATAGTTTAGTTAATAAGTTGTCTATAAAGTGATCTACTTGTCAAAAGGGAAGGCTAAGATCTACAATATATATTTTAAAAAATATATTCACAAAATGTTAACAGTCAAAAAAAAAATTTTGTTTGTTTATTTTTATGTTATTCATGAAGACATATATTGAATTTTGCCTTGAACAGTGTGGCTGCATGGCCAATTTTCAACCCTTCAAGATCTCTTGTTAATTCTAGTTAGGTATACTTTGAAAATTAGTTTTAAAAGCGGTTTATAAACATGTGGTAATCAATGAGAAAATCAATTTTAAATAACTAACAAAAGCTTATTGTCTTTCAGATATCAGAAGACAAGAACTTCCCAGATAAGATCTGCAACAAATGTCTGTCTAGTGCTCTTAGCTCATACCTGTTTGCGCAGCAATGTGAACAAGCAGAGAGAGCATTACGTAACTGTTTCGAAGATATTTATGAGAAATTTGAAAAGATAGATCCATTGGAACGCCCTAAGAAACGGGGCCGACAAAAATTGAATCCCAATTACAATAAAATATATGCTGAACATAAAAATGTTATGGATTACGCTGAACCAATTATCAATCTTAAAAACACATCGACAGAGTCGCTAACAAAAGAAGAGAAACTACAAGATTATGAATGTTTGAAATGTTGTGAAGTGCTACCAAATGTTGAATCGTTGTTGAACCATGAAAAATTACATCCCAAAAGTATGTGGTACCACTGTAGGATATGCGGTAAAGCTTATCCAAAACGTCATCAAGTCAAAAAGCATTTTATAACTCACGGAAGAGAAGAAGTTGAAATTCCAGATCACAGCTTTTCATGTAAAATATGTAATTATAACACAAAAGAATATAATGTTTATTTACAACACATAGAGAAGCACAAATTTCAAGAATTACTACAAGATTTGATCGATCGTAAAACCGACAAGTTCTGCTCTATTTGCCTAAAGAAGAAAAACAGGTTGTTTGATATGGAGAGCATGCTATGCTTGCACGGAGGCTGTCCTGAGTTATCTGGTGATAGGAGTTTGTACAAAATTGTCAGTTCCATGTTGCCGGAGGTATGTCCTAGTCATTGTTTTACTAGTTTTTATGGGTCATATACATTTTTATACATATGCAAAAGTTTTTATATTATTTTTTATACACTTTAATCTGAATTATCTACATAGTTATCATTTTTGTTTCAAATTCAGTCAAAACTCAGCTAGCTAGTTGTATTATTATTTACAAATACATTAATTATATGAAATATATAATACTAACAAAAAGTACTCAATGTAAATTTAATAAAAAATTACTGATTTTGCTCTAGAGACCAATAGTCACGGTTAAAGAACCCTAATGCTATTGCTTATTCATATTGCATTAATTCTGCCGAAAACTCTGTTGTCATTTTGATATAATATATATTTTAGTAAAAAAAAATACTGAGGTCAAAACCTCAAAGTACTGCCCGTGTATGCCCTGGCTGAAGAATATTTGTATATTTTTGGTTACAATTAAATTCAGTTTTAAGTGAAAACTTTATTGTACTGTATTGTAATTTTAATTTGTAGCATAAAACATTAAAACAAAAGGAGCTGATTGTATCAAGAGCAGCTGAAATCATCTCATTAATGAAGATTAAGCGTAGTAATCAATATAAATCTAACAATATTTACATGTCGCACCCTATTATAATAGATATTGGTAACTTTAATTGTAAAAACATCCTGCAAAACATATGTAAAATATTTCAAAGCATTTATGTAAGAAATAATATAAAAGAAATTGAATCAAAGAAAATATTACGAGAACAAGAGAATAGCAATGCTTCGGTTATTGATCAGTCAACTTTGGATGTTAGAATAATGAATTCTAAACATATTGCATACAATATGGGATATATGTATAAGAAAATGATCATGAGTAAAGAAGTAAATCTAGATCTAGGATATTTGTCTGAACAACTTTCACCTGTTACTAGCATGGATGAAACCACTCAAACGGAATGTACTAAGTACAATATGAAATGGATACAGTGTTATTGACGAAGGGCAAGATTTAAATGGAAAATTTGCATTTTCAGAACCTAGATATATTGATAGTAAACGAAATTGTACTGTTACACAAATCAGCAGTACAGACCAATCAATCACTCAGCTTGCATCCATCGATATACCGATAGTCTCATCTCGCGCTGGTAATTATAACCGGAATTCTTGTAATTATTGTTGGATATTCAAAAATGTGAGCACCTGTGAGATTTGTAACAGAGTCAATGTTTCTCAATGGGATTTTTTAGATAAAGTTTCTGAAAATCTGGTTAGCGTTGAAGAAGGAACTAGAAACAGTTGGAGCTGTGATGTATGTCACATTAGAAACTCCAATAAATCCAAATGTATTTGTTGTGGAGCAGATAAAGACCATTCTATTTTCGGTCAAGCAATAACGTTTAACTTCAACACAGGCCTGCGTCAAAACTTTAAAATGAAAGAACAGTCTATGGACGTTGAGAAACCAAAAATTGAATTAACCTCCATTAGTAATGGAATGTATGGAAGCTTCAATAATTTTAGTAAAACAGTCGAAAATAATCAGAATGCATGCAAAAACAACCCTGTGTTAAAATGTCTCGATCAAACAGCGATGGATATTGAAACTCCAGATTTTGATTCGCAAGAAAAAATGCAGTGTTTCAACTTTTTTAAAGATGTGGATGTTGAAGAGTGCTATTGAGTACTTATTGAGTGTTAGAGAAGCATCTTACAATATATGTAAATATTGAAATACCTCGCCTGTTCTCAAGTTGATGTATAAAACCATTTTACATCCGAAGAGCAATAAAAAAAAAAAACAGTACGAGCCTAAAAATATATTTGTAGTTAGATAAACACTATTGTTTAAACGACCCCTTTTATTGTTAGATTAATCAATGTCCGCTTGTTATATTTAAATTTTGTTACATATAATTACTATATAAGTTAAATTACAAAAATAATTGCTATAGATGGCAATAATGGCAATAAATAGTCATTATAACTCTGTGTTAATTATTATCATCAGTACTATGAAGCTATGGCGTTTCAAGATTTTTGTAACAGTACACAATTTGCGTAACGGATAATAGATGGCAGCAGACATATTATTTATTTATATTTTATTGTATCAATATAAAAAAGTATATACTTATTTTTTTCAGTATTATATGAGATGCGATTAAGTGTATCTACCCTCTTTGTCTAGCATAAATATCTTCATTCAAAATTGTACGTAGAGTGAGAAAAGATAGAGAGAAACTCTAGTCCCGCATCGCAGCTGACACACATTTTTATATCGTATTTATGAATACGTATTATATTCTATATCTATACCTATGTAATGTGTAAATATGTAGGCGTATTATTCAATTATTTTAGTTTTTGTTTTTTTTTTCGTTTGCTTACAGATTAACGAGAGTCGTAACATGGGAACAAAAATATGCGAAAAATGCCTTGACCACGCCATCATAGCATACGTATTCGTGAATCAGTTTTATTTTACCAGAAATAGGCTCGACGTTTGCATTAACTCATTAACAAACGGTCTGAACGTGGTAGACGCTTCGAAGGGAAATGTTTTCGCTGAAATTTCACTGTCAACAATAATGCCGATACAGAACAGTCTAAGCTTATTCTCAACTCAGGATCAGCCATCTGATGAAAAGGAATTGAAAGTGGACGTTCTTGAAGATGAATTCAGACAGCAGGATGAAACTGGTGATGAGAAAACGGACTCGGAAGACGAGCGAGATAACTGCCGCGAAGACATCGAAGCGCCTCTTCCGAAACACGATCTGGTGAACGGCTACGAAGACCTGGACCCTATGAGCAGAGTCAGCGAGTTCCTAACGTTCAAAAAGCCGGTGTTGCGCAAGCCCAAACCCGCGGCCGAAAGCTACACGTGTCCGCTATGCTACAAGAATTTTATATCGGATTACTTCTTGAAGAGGCACATCGTGAGGCACGCCAACAGAAACGTTCAGTGTGGCGCCTGTCTCCAAGTCTTCAAAACGAAATTCAACTTTATCGAACACGTGAAAAGCGTGCATCGGACTAACGTTAAGCCGTTGATTAAATGCGAGATATGTGAAAGGCACGTTAGCTTGAAGAAGTTGAAGTCACACACCAGGGCGCACTCCGAAACTAACTGCGTGCTCTGCGGGAAGGTCTTCGTATCGGTCAAGCATTACAGAGCCCACATGGAGAGGCACGCGCTAAAGTTGCGCCTCATCAGACGCCGGTATGTAAAAACGTGCGGTTTCTGCGAGAAGGAATGCGCAAACAAGAATGCGCTCACAGCTCACGTGAATAAAGTTCATTTACAAGTAAAGCCATACGCTTGCGACATGTGCGAAAAGCAGTTTTACACCGAATACGATTTGAGGTGCCACATGAAACTGCATAGTTCGAAATCTAAGGAGCGCTGTGAGCTTTGTTTTAAAGTGTTGAGGTCCAGGAGTCAGCTCGTAGCGCACATTAGAAAGCATATGGGGGTCAGGCCTTACGCTTGTCAATTGTGCAATCACACGTTTTATTCTCAGAACAAGACTTACGTGCACATGAGGAGACGCCACGGAGGAATCCACGTTTGTAAGTTTTGTAAAACGGCGTATTCGACTCAAAGGAAACTAGAGATTCATACGCAGACATCTCATTCTGTGATTTAAAAGGTCCCGTATTATTAATTAGTTGAAATGTATTCTGACATCGTGAGCCTGTGTCGATGTAAGTGCGATAGTTGAGGAGGTCAGAGTCTGGCCGGATTCACTTTGCGGAAATTGCGGGTTGAACTGATTCCTGGATGTAAAATATACTCCTATGGGACGGGATGTGGTACTAATGTCCTTGCACTTGGAAATATTCTACTGCGACTTCAAAATTTGCGAAGACTGTGGCCAGTGATGCATGGTGGAAGATTATACTGGGTGACCTTATTTAGACATATTCACACTCAAAGCATAGAGCCTAGAGGGAATCAACAAATGACACCCTTACAGTTATAATTTTTCCTACCTATGCTGATAGTCTTGAGAGATTATTTCAGCTTCGCCTTAACATGTATATAAGCTCACGGGGCTCAAACCGGAGCCTCCTTGCAGAATATACTGCGTCATTTTTATTTGGAAGTCGCGGAGCAGGTCATTAGAATGCGCAGATATGGTACCTTTTGCTGCTCGATGATGAAAAAATGCAGCCGCTACGTCGCTTCCTGTAGCCGAGTACTTCACTGTTGATCATAGGTCCCCTCACCACATTTCCAGCCGGTGCTATGGCGTTTAATCAGCTACAGTGATTAGTGTGCGAATATTAACCAATAGATGGCGTTACGTGCACGTCCCGACCGCACAGTGGTTAGTGTGCGAACGTTTGCCAACAGATGGCGTTACATGCCCGTTACTAATTAGCATTGTAGATCTTGTCGGCCTCTTAGAGTATAATCAGTTGATTGAAAAATGCTTATCTTAAAAATTGTTGCAAATATATCAATAACACATCAGAACTGAGTACAATTTGTTATGTTCTATATGGAAAATTTGATATGGATATGTCGACTTTAAATATAATTATATAAATGCCTCTATTAATTGAAGATGTAAGTTAAGTTGAAATTTTAATGAAATAAATATTTTTATATTGAAATTAAGTTTTAATACGACACCTGTACAGGAAGTGGGGAGATTTAGAGGAATTCCACAAAAACTATTGTCGTGAACTATGAAATACGTACTTCACGAATGTTCACCATTGACTTCTGGGGTGAAGGAATAACATCTATACTAATATATAAATCTAGTGGTTTTTACGGATATTCCGTTAAAACTACTGGACCATGCATCCGATTGACTTGAAACTTGGTATCCATGTAGAAAATATTATACATGTACTTAATGCATTATGTGTGTTGGACTCCCTAATAATAATGACAATAAATAATGATGTTAATTTTGAATGCCCAGCGAAGCGAGTACGGCTAGTTGGAACTAAAATTAGTTTGTCGAAAGTGGTTTCTGTTGGAAATTAAAACATTTACTTGATTGAAACAAATATTTATTTGTGTTGTTACATTAACGAACACATTCATCAGTAATCATTAACAGATTCTAACATTGAAATCTACTCGCATTACTATTGACATTGTAATCGTGAACCTTTCAATCGACAGAAATTCACTGCTGGAAATTGCCCCGTTACGCAAATCGACATTACTATCATTATATTTACACAACGCATTTTACGTGAATTTTAATAAACTTAAAAAAAAAATATTGGCTTGTATGCATAATTACAGAACGGGACTTTTTTCAGTTTTGTCACATAGCTCGACAAGGATTGTAATCTGTGTATATAATCTCGCTGTACACTCCGAGCAAATTGGTTTTACAGGTACATCAGTGATGCGATATAGAAATCAGATCCCTCCATATACTTTCCAATTTTTTTCTTTCCTTCTTTCCCTCCATATACATTATTACTTATACGTGGTTGCAAGTCTGAGGTCTGCTAGAGTCTAAACACCCTTTAGCGGCCTTTAGAACACTCTGTTTTGACCACTTTAAAAGTCGCGTCATAATTAAGCCTAGAATTAGACGCTAACAACAGTGCCGTAAGTCTAAAAGTTATCTTTCCACCGCCATGCCAAGGTCTTATTAGTAGAGTTGTAACTACATGAATGTAACAAAACTTAAGGACTACATTACATATTTAAATAGACTGAATTCATTATTGAAAATATGCAAAATTCAGACAATGTTTCAGAGATGACCACGGGCTAGCGGTGTTGGCGACCCGTCTACCCCAGGCTGAAGAACTATTGAGTGTTCGAGCCCATGTCTCAAGGTGGGTCGCAGTATTCCAGTGTCTGCGCTCTAGTGACTATATATCAACACAAGACTCCATAGCGTTATTAGTCAACTTATGACATCCCTGATAAAACCATTAAAATTAGAAACATAGTTTCAAGTTTCATTGTCATCAAGTTTGGGCAGTCTCCCGTCTTCAAACAGGTGGTGGTACATTTTAGGCACAACTTCTTTATAATCAAAAGGTCGGTCTTTCCCTTTCCAATGAACATGCTTGAAGTGATGCCTCATTTCTCTCACAAAATGGAACATACTGTCGCAAGATGGACATGAGACGGTCTTCTCGGCATGTTTCTTTTGTATGTGAGTACTGAGTATGCTTGATGATCGGAATTTTTCGCCACAATGCTCACAAGTGTAAGGACATTCGCCTGTATGTATCCTTAGATGCATTTTAAGGCATACACGATTAGCCATTTTCTTATGACATATGTTACAAATGCAAGACTTCTCCTCGTGAGTCAACTGGTGTTCCCTCAATCTGGCTCGTCCACAGAACTCTTTGCTGCATTGTTGGCATTTAAAGGGCTTGATTTTGTAATGGTAGCGGTTCATATGCGCTTCGAGATCGAGTTTTTTTCGTACCAAGTGGCCGCAGACCGGACAAGCTCGCATCGGTATGGCTTTAATATTTGAATAGCCAGTGGTCTCTACATTTTTTTTATGTCTCGTCATGTGTTTCTCGAGCAAAGACTCTTTCAGTCGTTTGTTGCACACCGGACATGTGACAATCTGGTGTGTTTTTATGTGATTGTTCAAAGCGGTTTCTGAAAGTAGCGCTTTCCCGCACATTTCACAAATATGTTTCTTCATGTTCCACTCAGAGCTACACTTAATCACGTGCTTGAGGTAAAAGGCACTAATGATTTTTCTTCGGCATTTCTCACATTGAATCCTTTCGTAATGTCGGTGTTGATGCAATTGCAGCTTCTTTAAGCTGTAGAATTTCTTCGGACAGCTCTTGCAAGGAAACAGAGTGCCTGCTTTGTGAATCGTGTCTTGATGTTGTTGCAACATTTTAATACTTTTAAATTTGATTTCACACAGTGTACACTCAATATGTTTACTCCTCTTCTTATACTGGACCGTGCTACTGTGTATCATTGCCTCGTGTTGTTGCAATTCAATTTCTTCCATGAATCTCTTATTGCACAATGTGCATTTATATCCTCCATTGTTGTGCTTTAAAAATACATGTTTGTCGTAATCCACCACATTATCAAACGACGCTACACATTGGTCACATTTAATTTTTCTAATTATTGTTTTACACTGATTTCTGTGTTTTTGTAGGAAGAATGGCCTATTGTATTCTTTATCACAATATTCGCAAGTATTCTCAATGTGGTATTGGTCTATGTGAATCCTGAGGCTTGCTTTAGTATAGAACTGCATGTTACATTCGCTGCATGTGAACGGATGGTGGTCTAAATGCTCTCTGTTAGCGTGCGTTACCAAATATTCCTTTCTCGATGTAGTGTAATCACAGTTCAAGCATTTCGCTTTGCTTGCATGACTTAAAATCTGGTTTCTATAACTAATTAGATATTCATGATGGATGCAAGGCATTATTGTGCATTCCGGACAATTAAACTTGCATTTATGTAAACTCTTATTTGAGGTAGTAAATTCTAAATAACAGTACTGACACTGCGGATTCTCAGTTGTATTGTTCACACTGTGACTGACCCGGATGTGGGTTTGTAAGGCTTCATGGGTGTAATATACATTGTCACAATGCAGACAACACGACAACATTGTGCCATGCTCCTTTTTTAGATGCAACATCAACTCATTGTCTTTAGTAATTTTAAGGCAATACCTACAGCGGGCCACTTCATGAGTTTTATAATGTAAATCTAAGGACTGTAAGGTCAAATAAACTTTTGAACAAACCGTACACTTAAAAAGTTTACTGCTATGTTTTACTTTTTCGTGTTCCTTCAAGGACTTGTATGTCGTGAAAATGGCTGTGCATTTTGAGCATTTATAGATTACATATTGAGGCACTGAAGGAGCTATATTCAGTTTAATAGGATTTATAACTATTTCACCACCTTTCGCGGTTATGTGCTTGTTCGTATTAATTCTATTCAAAACGTCATCATCTTCGACTATCACAACTGTAGATTTAGAGCTACTAATATTAGTCTGTGGTAGTTTTTTGAGTACAGGATTCTGTGTTGGCACTATTTCGGACACAGTTGTTAATTCTTTGATGTCTTCAAGAGTATCATCGTCTTCTTCCAACACTATCACGATGTTAGATTTGTTACATTCTAAAGTACTTAATACTTGTTCATTAATATCTGTCACTTTTGAATGTAAATCATTAACACATGTGTTTATTACTTTGGATAATTTCTTTGTGTTGCTAATAAAAATGTAGGATTGTAGCGTCTTCTCTGTGCATTTATCACATATATAGGAACAAGACATTATATTTGCGACCTGAAAATAAATTAACAAATTTAAATGGGGCTATTCATTTTTTTTTTATATTTTTCCATGGCACAGTGAATACACAAGTCAGACAAAACTCATTAGTATTTGACCTGTGCTTAATATTGCTTTACTTTAAAAACAAATAGGTAAATTAACAAACCAATACACATAATTTTTAGAATAAGACTCACATCATCTCTAAATATAAAATTAATAATATCCAATAATGACTTGGACTCTTTCTGTCGACTTATAACCAGCTCCAAGTTGATGGCATTCAGATTTTCAGTTTCTAAGCACATCCCACAGAACTTTGTGCAGTTCCAGAGACATTTCAACTTTTCGTGCAGCCAAAGAATGCTGTTTGTGCTGTCTTCAAGGTCGGTTTCATGCATAATGCTATCTGAAAGTATATGAAATAATTTTGATTTAATCTCTGATACTTTTTCTGTGATTGCTTCACAATCCAAAAGGACATTGCATGGATTATATTTTGCTTCTCACATTTAATCTATAGAATGATAATATATAAAATGTCATTTGACATCTACAATTTAAATCCCGCCATCCACCTGGGGACATGAGTTGTAAGGTATCAGTTTTAGCAGTCTAACTATCAATGTGGAACACAGCATTGTGGCAGAACATAATACGGGACGGTAGTTCTACAGAAACAGTAGTTAATAGTTACAGTAACACAGATAATCTAGTTTCTAACAGAAGTACAGTGCACAACAAGCAAGTGAAGCCAGTAGTACCTTGCTTACACCTTACATCTCAATTAAGTGAAGTCTCGCCTTAAAAGTGAAAAGTATCGTCATGCTAGTGACTTCATTGAATCCACTTGGGTACGAATACAGTACAATTGGTGTGCGAGAAGAGTACAGCAACTACTTCGTTTGTATATAAAAAATCTTAGTTTTGTTTGTTTAAGTTTATGTATTTTTACCCCCCTCATTGTAATAAACAACGTTCACAGTAACAAAAACTAAATGTTTACTGAAAGCACTTTCTTAATACGAATTATTACGAACATACAATTTATTACGAATTTTAGCAATTTGTGTTCTAGACCAACACTGAACATTTTACAAACACGGAATGTTTATTGCAATATAAAAAATGTATGACGAAGCCCTAACTTTATACATGATATCGTATTTTTTGCCTCAGTTATTTTATCTGCTTTGATAGTAATGGAAATACTGCAGATGTTACATTAATATTTGTAATTCTAAGCAATATGGCGATGTCATTATAACACAATTTCTCAATTATTATTCAATTGAAGAATTCATATAAAGTGCAGATATATTCAAACACAATTGTGATATTAAAATTAAAACTAAACACTTGATGAAGTGAGATTTACTTCAAAACAAATAACTACCTTTTTCGCGTTCCAGGGGCTAAGTTTTTTATCGACACACGTTGATGAGGTTTGGTATTTTTTTTAAAAGAATTTATGGCCTGGAAACCAGGCCTTTAGGTCAGGTCTTATGTTTTTTTCATAACAGAATATATGAAATATAAAATTGATATGAAGCGAAATGAGAGGAAATTCATAAATTTGATACTATATTCAATTGGAATGAATTTAAATGAAACGAGATGAGATGAGATGAAACACAATCTCAGTAAACTGCGAGTGAGCTCACCTACCCGTCCGGACGTATTTGGAATAGCTCCTTATTATATGAATTTAGTGTGTTGTAGCCATAGAGTTACTGTTGTAGGTACTTATTATGTCCATGGTTGTAGCATGATGCGAGTGACAGTTTCAGTAACGTTTCGTTTCACTCTTGAAAGTTGCCGCGATTTACAAATTATGACTTAGTATTAAACATTAAGCAAAGCGCTATGCGTATAACGTAACGCCATAGACGTATTTAGTATTTAGTGATGGGATGTACTGCTACAATGGATAGTCAATGTTTTTTATATATAAAAAACGTATATTGGGCGTAGTTAAATTTTTATTGTTAAAAAGTCTATCCCGACTATGATATGCCGCTAGTCATACAGGCAACTGTCACCCGCATCATGCTACAGCGCACATAGTATAGGCTACCAGCGAATAGGTAGGGTTAAAAAATATAAAAAATATTTAGAAATCATCTTTTGAAGAAATCTAGGAGGACTACTAAAACATTTTTAAGGATTACAAAGTAAAACCATAATTTACATATAAACCTATAATACGAAAAATATAAAAGGACTGAGACTTCTCGATCGACTACGCATGGTTTTATTTGGCGATATTTCATTTTTTTTTCTATTGCCCATACGGCCCACCTGATTGCGAGGGGCTACCATTGCTCAAAGTCGTCAACAATGCCAGAAGTAGAACCAGACAGCTGCCTACGGTCAATTTATTTAAACACATAGCAGGTACAGATTTGTCTGTTGAAATATGTGAAATCTAAAGAAGCTTCGTGATGTGTGAGATTTGTAACTCAATTAACGGCAGAAGAGCGCTGCCCTTACTTTATTTAACGTCACTTCATTACGATATTGATCGAAAAAGACATCACTAAGTTACATAATCAATAAATAAAACGCATTATACAACTTGTAGGTATAATTTATTTAGAAAAATAAGGTACAAAAGGACTTTAATAACAAAGCTACAATAATGTTTTGTTATGATCTTTTTTAAATGTAATAAATCGTGGGAGTAAATTATGTTTCAAATAATAATGTCTTGCAAGAACTTTATAGATGACACTCAATCAAAATTCTAAGATACGTAGTTGAGAAATCCTATAAATAACGTGTCCCTTACACACGAATATAATTGTTCTCGTAAGCTTAAAGTGCACGTTGTAGAAAAAACTGAACAAAAAAAAAATGTGTGCGTGTACTAGTGTACACACATAAGAAGTGAAACTTGTTTATGGCCTTATTTTTCGAAAAATGATCTACATGCAACTTTCTAGAAATTGGTTAAATAAAGTTAAATTAGATAAAGTTTAAACAAAAGGATTTTATTATCATAGACATGAATATAAAAAAGTTAAATTAGATAAAGTTTAAACAAAAGGATTTTATTATCATAGACATGAATACAAAACAGATGGCGCGTAACGGAAAAAAGTGACGCGTAACCGAAAAATGTGACGGTAAATTTTTTTCCAACGCCGATAAGGAAGTTTCACTTCAATAACGCCTTTGAACTTTAAATTTATATTACAATTGGACGAAGGCATTATCTCCATAAAGCCATTGTTATTTTAATTATTACAATATTTTTGTCCATCTAAAAATAGTACAACAAAACAATAATTGTTTTGAGATTAACTTAAACAACGGCAAATTCAGGCCTCTTGTTATTGTCACGGTGGCAAAAATAAAACATTTAAAATAGGTATAACACATTAACTAGCTTTCCTATTAATAAGTTTGCTCATAAAAAATACATTAATTATATAATAATATGTACTTTAATTATTGATAATTCGCTGCTTGATGATTGTCTATTCCATACTTTCTTGATAAAGGTCATAAAACCAATAAAAGATTCTAAGGCAAAAACTTCCGACAAAATTATTCTAGGTATACATTTTCACTTAGAGAAGATAGCAATACAATTGCAGGCGCCCCACGGTTAACTAATTAAAAAATACTAATTATGTATGTATTTGTAATGAATGTTTGCATATTTTGATAAACACAGCGAGTAACTGTTTTTAACTTTTTTTTTTTACATAAGTCCTATGTTTTAAGTAACAGCCTGTAAGGCAAAAGGATTTTAGGATAATAATTACCACAGAAATTTAAATAGTAATTAACACAATTACAATAACATAATTATAATAAAATTATTAAAAAATCCATAAAAAAAGGCATCTCTTGTACAAAAAATCTTTATTTAACGATTTCAACGCCGTCAGTATTATTGTGTGATTTGACACAATTAGTGCATTTTTTCCAAAAGCCATTGGAATTTTGAAAGACAACTTTACTTAATTGTAACATCCACGCTATTTTTAGCTTGACCTTTTTAAAGTGCTAACAGAGTAAAATTTAAACTTTATTTTTATTGCGAAACAAACCTTTAATGAACTTTGTAACAATGTAAGATACAAACTAATGTTTATCTGCTCTAACTTAGTATTTAGGTTTACACTGAAGCCATTATATTTCAAATTGTATCTGTATTTTGACAGGGAATTGAAACGATATAATCTTAATTTGATTTTATAAATATATACATGTAATAGGTAAAGCATCGCTGAGTTAATGAATGTACCACTTTTAATGCCTAAACAATGCACAAGGAATTAGAACTAAGAATTTTATTTTAACTCAATAACGAATGTTGCCGATTTGATGACATTATTTTCTGATATTCACAAACAGATTGAACACATAAATCCTACAATACCTAACTAATATATTGGTTTAGACGAAATTTAAGCTAAGGACGGGCAGTCTGGGCATTCAAGACTCTTAAAAAAATATTCCCGTAAGAAAAGCGGCACCAAATTTAAGGAAACCCACGTTAAATTACTATCCTACTTAGAAAGGCTCGGAAAGCGGTTATGAGTATTAAATTGCAAATTAGTACCTAGCTCTAGTATGTTTCTTCCAAGATATTTTTATTTTATAGTTTAATTGAGTAGTGATGATTGGCGCCATCTTCGTTTTTAAGAATGCCACAGATCTGTTATTATGAACTTTCATGACATAGCTTGTCATATTTCTTGGATGTTATTTGTGTATTATCTATGATGCTAATGGTTCGAGAAAATTCGAATGTTACGTTAGAGCTTTTCAAATATGTTTTCGATACAAAATAAATGTCAGTTTTACCTTAATATATTTTACAGTAAACATTTATGTATTGAATTTCATACAAAGCAAATATCGGTATTGTAGGCTCTTAATTTGTATACATACTATTTAGTTATTTTTTCTTATATTTAAAAAGTTAATCTAATATTGGTAGCCGCCTCCTTCGCTGTATCCTTGGCCGCCGGATCCACTTCCGTATTTGGGCTGGTCGGGGAATTGCGCTTCGCCTTCGTATGAGACCTGATATCAAAAACTAAAGTAAATAAAGGTACCAAAATTGATCATGAGCCATAATTTTCCCCTGTGTTATGTCTACTGAAACATCATTCAACAATAAGTGCACGTGCGTTCTGTGAGATCGCATGTGTGGGTACTTATCAGCATTCTTCTTAATTACTGGTGGTAGGACATCTTGTTAATCCGCACGGGTAGGTATCACCACCCTGCCTATTTCTGCCGTGAAGCAGTAATGCGTTTTGGTTTGAAGGGCGGGGCAGCCGTTGTAACTATACTGAGACCTTAGAACTTATATCTCAAGGTGGGTGGCGCATTTACGTTGTAGATGTCTATGTGCTCTTCAGTAACCACTTAACACCAGGTGGGTTGTGAGCTCGTCTATCTATATAAGAAAAAAATAAAAAAAAACGCAAATTATATTTTTTTGCGGATTTTGTTTTTTATTACACGATGTTATTCCTTCACCGTGGAAGTCAATCGTGAACATTTGCGAAGTACGTATTTCATTAGAAAAATTGGTACCCGCCTGCGGGATTCGCCGCCGGATGCATCGCTACATACGAATGCACCGGACGTCTTATCCTTTAGGCCACGACGACTTCAAAAGCGATAAAAAAAGGTCCTTATAAAAAAAGCGATTAAAAAATTGCCTTACCTCAGCGTTGAACCCATTTTTCCAGTCGGCAGTGTACTTAACGATCTGTGTGCGGCCGTCGGGCAGCGCGACTCTGTATTCGCCTTTCGTGACGTCACCGTCCGAGATGGCGTTGTGGCTGTAGTCATTGCCGTTCTCGTTGACGGCATAGTTGAAGTCGAACGGCATCCCGGGCTCGTGGTGGTGGTGGTGCTCATGATGCTCGTGATCCTGCTGATCATGATGCTCATGGTGCTCGTGCTGGAATAAACGTGTTAAATGTTTTAGTGGTTGAAGGAAAATTGGGACGTCGTGTCTGTCTTAAGAAAGCAGATAGAGCGGTTATTTTGCTCAATTATACTAAGATGCACAGCCCTATTTCAGGGCTGCAATTCGGCAGTGTTCAAGTTGGACAGCAGCTAAAACTCCTGACTCCTTATATTTGACAAAGTCGGCTTAATAAAAGCAAGGCGAGGTCGTTATATCTCAAAGCTAATCCACCGGATCGGTCAAGTAGTACGGATAAATAATTGCTATTGTATTTGTTCCTTAATATAAATCAGACTTCTAGAATTTTCGTTAGAGTGGTCTACTACTGGACGTTGAGCACACGTAATGGGAACGATCCAGATTCTAATTAGTGGGATTGCTTTGATAGTCGCTGATGCAAAGAATAGGGGGCTTTCTCGAGCATTTTCCGAGACTCCAACGGCAAATAACAAACAGCAAACTAACTCAAGTCTCAGTAAATTATCTACAATCAATTCGATTTACGCTTAACGTCTCAGTGTTGCCATAAAAATATTGTTTTTTTTATTATTATCGGTTTAAATGTAGAATTTTATGATGTAAAATAAAACTGCTGGTTTTATTATTACTATAATGTGCGCTCGAAGTTTCTTTCAGATTGTGGTAAGTACATTTTTCTATTATATTAATAAATAAGGTTTCGGACGCAGACAATGCCATTGTTAAGACGTTGCTGACAGACTGTCTATCAGAAGTAGTGTAATAAATTTCTAACGTATTTACAACAGTCACTATAAAATATCGCAGGCTTTAGGTACAATTGTCACCTTTTCGAAAACTAATCAAGGGTGTGCATAAAATTATAATTGATATTTCATATAGCCCTACGTTGGACCTACAAGACGATATTACTAACATTGAATACTAGATATACGAAGTCATTAGATATATAAGTGGGAAGATCGGTACTTTTTGGTCAATTCACACTGGCATATTTTAAAATAAGAAAATAATAAATGACAGTCATCAAAGTGACATAACGATGTCACGAATAGTTTTTTTTTAAATAAAAGATTTTGTTGTTAAGCTAAATATCCACTAGACTTTTTTTTTGCTTAGATGGCTGGACGAGCTCACAGCCCACCTGGTGTTAAGTGGTCACTGGAGCCCATAGACATCTACAACGTAAATGCGCCACCCACCTTGAGATATACGTTCTAAAGTCTCAGTATAGCTACAACGGCTGCCCCACCCTTCAGACCGAAACGCATTACTGCTTCACGGCAGAAATACGCAGGGCGGTGGTACCTACCCGCGCGGACTCACAAAAGGTCCTACCACCAGTAACTTGGTACTGTGGCGCCACCTTAATTAGTTCCTTTTCAGCGGACACTTTTTAATATACTGAGATGGTGCTTCTTATTTTTAGCTTCCATAATACACATATAAAAAGCTAATCAAAGCGCGTTTAAAAAAAGCAAATGTCAAATGAAGTTCATAGATCGAAGTTTTACTTTTAACATTTACAGATGCTCTCAAACTTCTTTTGTGCCGTGGTTCCGAAATATTTGGGAATCTCCGATGCTGAATATGGCTCTATAGAGTTGAGTAAGTTGAATTGTTTTTATCAAGACCTATCTATGACTCTAATGTCAAAGTATATGCTATAAATATTTCTTTACAATCACGGTGAATTCACATTTCTTGTTAATGATTTACAAATAAATAAAAAATGAAAAACACGTGTGGCACTCGGCGACTGCCGCAGTAATGCTATTGAGGAATATGAGTTAACTTTTACGCTATCGAGAACGTTAAAAAACTCGCACTAAGCACACTGCCCACAGCAATGACACTGAATGACTGTTTTTTTTTTACTTTTAAAAGTTTTATCCTAGAGCCTAAACGCTGTTAACATTAAAGATTGAATAAATTAACAATTTTGGCTTGTAGATCATTACCAGAAAAAAAAAGATTTACGTAAGTACATTCATTTGTTTAATAATAGGTTAAGATTGCGACGAAGGCTTGTTGGTTAGTTAGTAATGAGTATTTGTCCCGAATACCGCGGGAAATCACAAAGATGGCGTAACTAGGATACTTTCTTTTTCAACTTTTTTTTCACATCTGTTTTTATTACATTAGATTAGGCATCATGAAAACATTGCTAGTTTTAGAATTAATTATGTTAAACTACTTTTGAGGCTTATTGTTTTTTTAATACTGTTGTCAATTGTGTTTTCAATAGCCAAAGCTATGCACATGAATATGGTTTTGCTGAGTGCACATACTATTTAGATTGCAATCCAGATTAGATCTAGGTACTACTTGTACGATTTAGCTAATATGTACTGTAATGATTGTAATCTGTTTTATGCATCAATAAATAAAAAAAAAAAACAAAACAAAATATTGTGCTTACCTACAAGGTACGGTACACAGAATGTTTGAATTGAGTGTTAGATAATAGAATGAAAATATGAAACGCGAAATTAAACCGTAGTAGTTAGTAATTTTAATTAAGTCTGCGACTCGGGAATTTCGTTGGAAGTTCTATTTTGTTCTGAATACTTTTTTTATTTCTACAGAATATGGATTGCTATTGTCAAGTGAGTAATTTAGTAGACTTAATTAGACATTATTTAGTCTAATTTCAACACTTCTCTTTAAGAAGTGTAATGTCTAATGTTTTTTAAACTAACTGTATTTATTATCTACGGTGTAAAGTCCAGAGTTCACAGACCTCACAACTCCATGTATATAGATTATATTAATTAGTTGTAACTGACAATCTAAATAGTACATATTTAGGGGTTCAAATAACAGATGAATCCTTTCGTTTCCAGAATGAATTATTATAAAATTTAAATAAAAATGAAATGTTTGCTTTAGGTATAGATTACGGTAAGTTTGTATAGTATCTCACAATTCTAATTAGGAACATATTCTTCTTATTACTTCTTACTGACTTTAACCCACATTAAGGAGGATTGGCGCCGAGCAAGTTCTCTTATCACCCTACATCTGCATCTTCGTTTTTTCAGCAGTAGTTTATCCATTACAACGTGCCATAGGTAGGGAGTGTTCGGTTTCGAATTAGCGATTTAATACTATTAGTTAACTTCGTCCTGTATACGTGTTCTATCAGAACTCTTTTCTGCTACCAATCTATCTTGGTCCCTTTTATAGTAATCGAGACTTGGATTTCATGGTTCATTGTGCATCTGTATTGACTTTCAAGGGCTCCGTCAATCTCCCAAGAGGAATCGCGGGTGTTGAGTATTTTACAGAATAGACGGGTGCATAATTTTAAAAGTGATAACTATAGCACTGTTTGTAACATGTATATACTCTGTGAAATAAAAAGAGACAAACATATACAAATTTGGCGTGCGAAAGAATGAGATAGCGCGTCTAAGCAGTTTTGTTTGCTTTCTCTTCACAGTAGTTTGAGGTAGAAGCAGTGGGGAATAGTATAAGAAAAAGAGAACCAGAGCTAAGCAAATAACTACACTGTTTTCTTTTTTCTAGCGCCATAAAAAGGGCCTTTGTCTAAGGCGTATTTAAGATGTTATGGTATTATTCGAATAAATGTTTTTAGACAGTTGAAAATAGAGAATAAAAAGGCGATTTTCATTTTGACACACGTCGTGTTCAAATTTAGACGTTAGTGAGTTTTTGTGAACTTTCCACACTTAGGTAGGCAGCGGTTTGGCTCTGCCCCTGGGATTGCTGAAGTCCATAGGCGACGGTAACCATTCACCATCAGGTGGGCCGTATGTTCGTCTACCTACAAGGGCAATAAAAAAAAAGTATGGTACCTACCATTTACAATCACTACCTTTAAGACAAAAGAAAATTTCCAGCGTCTCTCAAACTTCGAGTCAAGCAAAGAACGTTATTTTACTTTTCTATATTTATTTTAATTCTCCGTTATTAATTATTAGATACAGCTAAACAGCCCTTGTCTTATAAAATGAACAAACGCCCCTCGTCAACCCGCTGTACAACAGACAAAGCAATCAAACGTAAGTACATTCCGAGTCACCTAGAGGGGATAGGGGCTGATAGGGTTTCGATCGAGTTCAATTCACATAACCATCTATATATTAATAAGTGAAGCAAAAACTTTGTATCCCTTTTTACGAAAATTGCGCGGACGGAGGAGTATGAAATTTTCCACACTTATAGAGAATATAGAGAAGAAGTGCACAATGCTAATTATTTTTTTAAATAATGCATAAAAAAAACCCTCAAACTATAAAGACGACGTTACACACACTACATACCATGTATTTGACGCACACACGCATGCATACTATTTATTGTCAAACTTTTGTTCTTGACGTCTGTGGTCGAATTAAGAATAGATTAAATATTGTTTGTCTGTATTAATATTTTTTATAGTGTAGTCTTGGCGAAATTTGTGATTATAGAAGTATAAAATACAATCATAATAGTGTAAAAAACTTACAATTTCAATTAATTATAGTCGAATTTCGACTACTGCGGGACCTCCAGTATTAATAAATACATAGCTACTCATCTCTTTTTTGCTGGCATAATCCCTTAGCTACCAGTGTAAGCAGGAAAAAAAAAGCTCATCTCTATGAAAAATAAACGTTTGCATGCGTGTGTGCCTCTGTGCGCATGCGTGTGTACTTGGATAATCAGTGAGTCGTGAATCAACCAGTGTGCTTAGTGCGAGGCTTTTAACGTTCTCGATAGCGTAAAAGTTAACTCAAATATGTATGGAGCTGGAACGTTTGCCTACGTTTGCCGCTAGGGGCGCTGTTCAGACTCCATACAAATTTGGGTTAACTTTTCCGCTATGGAGAACGTTAAAAACTCTCACTAAGCACACTTTTGAGGCCTACAATTTGCGTATTGCTAGTCTTGGTATCGTTCTTTTTGAGCCTTTTCCGGAGGCTTCTGAAGGAAGGGGAGGAAGAGTAAAAGAGATAGGATACAATAATTACTCTGTAATTAATTAATTAATCAGGAATACTTTAATAATCTTTTCTTTGATTTCAGTGAACGCCAATGATGTCCCAGGTATATAGTAATGATAAAATTTACTTAGAACAGATCGTTTCCCGTAAATATGAGCTTACGGTGTCGCTACGATGTTACTACGGCCCGTAGACATATCAACGTGACTTGAACCTTGAGACATGAGGTGGAAGCTTTGAGTGTATCTCAACTATATTACTCTTCGAGCCTCAAGCTCGTCGGATCAGCGGCACTTGCAAATATGTGGATAAATCGATGAGACTATACTTAAAATGGTATAATTAAATAATTTAATTCTCGACTTGATTAGTTTGCCTTATAAAGTATACTTTGAAGTATAGTGGTTTGTATAAAACAATAAAAGTATATTTATTTAGAATTATACTGAATTACTAGCTGACCCGTCAAACATTGTTTTGCCATGTATAAGATTTCTAGCGAATTTCTAGTGTAGAAAAAAAACAACTTACTTATTGTAAGTGTGTAAGGATGTGGTAAATGAGTGAAAGAGGTATGTAGTGCTGTGAACGATGAGGGAATATATAATAAAAATAACAAAACCTCATTCAACCACATAATACCTCATTATAACAAAAAAAAAAGTCCAAATAAAAAAAATATGTTAGGGGTGGACAACCCTAATCACTTAGGGGTATGAAAAATAGATAGTAGCCGATTTTCAGGCTTACTGAATATGCATAAAAAATTTCATGAGAATCGGTCAAGCGGTTTCGGAGGAGTATAGGAACGAACATTGTGACACGAGAATTTTATATATTAGATTAATTTACCGTAAGTTATTTTCTTTATCTTTCACAGAAACAAGTCAAGGTAAGAAAGAAATAGCGTACTTAATTAAGTTCAATGTGTATTTTACAATGCCTAATGAAATTCGCGAATGTCATCACTGGTGGTAGGACCTCTTGGGAGTCCGCACGGGTAGGTACCACCGNAAGGGACACCCGGATGGAACGAAGTTTCTTTCGATAAATTAGTGAAGGAATTGTAATTTTTTTTTAAGTTATAATAATAAATTACGGCATTATGAAGAAGAAAAAAACAATACTATGAACTAAATTACTATTGTTGAAACGCTATCTCGAGAAACTGTACTCATTACGCGGACCAATCGGATACGAGCAATGTCACGCGATAAGCGCCTACACGTTGATTGGTCAGAATGACGGATCTAAAAAGTGTCGTGACAACTTTTCGTAAGAATTTTTTCCGTCTAGCCCCCTTTCACAACGCGCGATAAGGAACTTCGTTCCAAAAAAAATGTATTTCGTGATTTTGTAACAATCAGTCAAGTAGGTATATCTTGAGTTGTTTAAGAGAAAATAATTTCAGTAATTCATTATAAAGCATTACGAGTATGTTCTTTATGAGAAATTTTAAGAGAATTTAGAAGAGGATCCTCTTGCATTGATTTCAGATGACAATAAGGTTGAAGACATGGGAGATGCACTGGAGCCAGTTAAAGGTATGAGGTTGTTTTCTATAAAAATCAATTGTCTAAAACTTGATTTAAATGATAACAAAATTTGACTCGCAGATATGAAATATGCAAAATCAACAAAAAAATACATGAAGCCCGACTCTGGACAGAATCCATTTTACGTAGATGACGAATAGAGATAAAATGTATTTAAAAAGATATAATTTTGTTTTTAATTTTTTTATTCCCTTACATTATGACAAGAGTTGGACCGATATAATTGAAACTTTTACCTCAAAGTATCTATTCAATTTACGAAGTCTATGCCTTCCAGCAGGACCGGGCCAGCCCTAATATCCTGATCCATAAAAAGGTACGAAAGATGTAATGTTTTTTCTTTATTGATTTAAAGTATTTTCTATGCATAATTTAAAAAAAATATTTACGTTCTGCACCCCTTCTCTGTAAGTGTGGGAAATTTCATAGTGCTCTGTCCGCGCAATTTTCGTAAAAAGGGGTACAAGTTTCTTCACGTATTAATATATAGAATATATTTTAAATTGTAGATAGATTTTTTTTTTTTTTTTAAATACTTTATTAAAATATTGGACGCTACTCGTTGCTAACCACAGTTGCTAACGCTCGCGCTGGCCTGTAACAGGTATACTACTCACACGCGCTCGAGTGCCACGCATTCACTCTCGCTCTGTCTCTTTCTATTCCCCCTCCCCAGGGGCGTTAAGCGCTTAACGCAACCTTGTTGGAAGTCGCATTAGAAGTTTAACTTCAAAAAAAAGGGGGTTACCCAGTTCAACAAATCCCAAATCCACGTACCTCTTGGTTAGGCTGCTGCGGGGGTACGTATGTGGGACGCTGCTGAGGAGGGCGGTACGAGCTGGGAGTGGGCTGCGCTGGACGGTATGGACCTGGGGCTGGCTGCTGAAATTAATAAAGAACATCGACGTGGATATTGATTTATTTTTCTATGATGGTTTTTGAACATGCTCACTGATTCAGAATCGCTTTAAGGTTTTTTGTGCGAGTTTGAGGTTAAATATTTAATGATGGATCAATGATATAACAGGAAGCTGTGTGGTAAATAGTAGTTTCGATAGGCAGCGGCTTGGCTGTCCCTGGCATTGCTGAAGTCCATGGGCGACCGTAACCACTCATCATCAGGTGGGCCGTGTGCTCGTCGTCTGCCTACGAGGGCAATGAAAAAAAAGCACGACCTAGAATTTCTCCAGCTCATCTCGTTCCGTTCGTGTCGTAAAAGGCGACCAAGAGATTCAGAACTGTGGAACTCCCGAGTAGGTACTATCTTGTACGCAATCATAGGTTTTTAAGGACGAGACAGTCGCTATATGATATAATTGAGGCTCCGACCTCATGTCTCAAGGTGGCGGTTGCGATATTTGTGAGCTCCGGTAATCGCTTAACACCTGGCGAGTGGAATGAGCTCTCGTCATTAACCCACCTTCACAATAAACATACTTAGACATAACATTAACAGATGTTAAGATTGTTTGGTCAGTTTATTCTGGTAGTTTTAAGAGCTTTAATAGACAGAGAGGCTCACATTAACCTCATGTTAAGTGGCCATCAGAGCTCATTGAGACCATCTACGTCATTACCCACAAGCACCGGTCACCGTCCTCGTCGAACCCGTCGCTTGCGACGAAGGGCTCGACGAGCGAATTAACCCATAGACACAGCCTGTTTGCTAGTGTTAGTAACACTCCGGTTTGAGCCTCGTGAGCTCACCTACACACGTTAGGGCGAAGCTGAAATAGCCTCTCAAGGCTATCAGCATAGGTAGGAAAAAAAGAGACTATAAATAGATGGAAATAAGGACGTTCACTGTTCACATCCAACTTTTATTTCTTCCTACTTTCTTGTAGCCGTGAGGGCAGGGATACAGAAAAAGATAGAGGGTAGCATGGTTTTTTTTGTTTTCTACAATAAAGCGAGTGAAGCCGCATCTAATATAAGCTTACGGCCCCCCTACTCTTAAGCTGGTAAAAAAGCCTTTTTAATGTCTCTTTCTGCCATACCTAGTTGCTGGTAGTCTAAAAGGCTATTCTATCTATATATCTTCGTCCGGACGGGTAGGTGAGCTCACGGGCTCAACCTGAGAGAATTTGCTAACATTAGCCCTAGCAGGAGCAGTGCTTCGCAGAATCTACCACCGGATCGAAAACGCGACCCACTGAGAAGATCCGGCGAGAAACTCAGTGGCTTGGCAACGTCTCATTTAAAAGTGAAGCACCATACACAGAGCTCTACATTGAAACATTTCGTAACAAAATGACATTTCAACTGGATACGATTTGCCGAGGTCACAGTTCATTGTAACACGTACCAGATCTGACATTTTAACGTTGTAATTCACACGAACCGCTCGGCTTGTGCTAACAACGTAATGACAAGGGGTAATCTATTTTCACTTATGAGTACAACTGAATTAAAGAAAACATAGTCATAAGAAGTCATAAGTCATTGTGCCCTAAAGTATAAGACGTCCAGTGTATTCGTATCTAGCGATGCCGATGGTACCGATTTTTCTAGTGAAATACGTACTTAACAAATATTCACGATTGACTTCCACAATGAAGGAATAACATTGTGTGATAAAAAACAAACCCGCAAAATTATAATTTGCGTAATTACTGGTGGTAGGAACTCTTGTGAGGCCGCGCGAGTAGGTACCATCACCCTGCCTATTTCTGCCGTGAAGCAGTAATGCGTTTCGGCTTGAAGAGTGGGGCAGCCGTTGTAACTATACTGACACCTTAGAACTTTTCAAGGTGGATGACGCATTTACGTTGTAAATGTCTATGAGCTCCAGTAACCACTTAACACCAGGTGGGCTGTGAGCTCGTCCACCCATCTAAGCAATAAAAACAAAAAGTTTTAACTATATCTCTATCTCTTATTCAGCTCATGTCCACCCAATACTGAGTGTAGCACTCCTAAAATTCTGTGCATTGAGGTTATTGCCTTAAAACGCTACTAGGTCGTAACTTGTCAAAACCGATAAAACTTTAATACAGTGTTTATATTTCAAATTCATAGTATTTTATCAATTGCGATTTAGGATTAGTGACATTTCAACACGGTCGCATTATTTCTGTGTGCTTAGTGCGAGTTTTTTAACGTTCTCGATCGAGTAAAAGTTAACTAACATTTGTATGGAGTTGGAACAGCGCCCCTAGCGGCAAACAAAGGGAAGCTCTTTTTCACGTCATATCGTATCCTCCCGATCTACTAACGGTGCTTCTAGGTACCTCAAGCACCGGTCATCGTTCTCGTCGAACCCGTCGCTTGCGATGAAGGGCTCGACGAGTAAATTAACCCTCAGACACAGCCCACTGAGTTTCTCGCCGGATCTTCTCAGTGGGTCGTTTCCGATTCTGTGATAGACTCTGCGAAGCACGGCTCTTGCTAGGGTTCGTGTTAGCAACGTCATCAGGCTTGAGCCCCGTGAGCTCACCTACTAGTTAAGGCAACGCTGATATAGCCTCAGCTTAGGTAGGAAAAAAAAGCTCTTTTTTTTTTGTTCCAACTCATTTGAGTTAACTCTTACGCGATCGAGAAGTTAAAAAATTCGCTCCAAGCACACTGTTGCATCTCGAATCGCCTACACTGATTTTGAGATTATTTCACGCGCATCCCGTGGGTTTTGTACCAGGCTTTATTACTTTACCGTGTAATTATTAATTATCAATACACCACGAAACTCAACGCTATGGCCGCGACATTTAAATCGAAATTTGTGTTTGAATCTTTAGATCGAAATTACAACATCGACATACGTTTTCGTTTTATTGTATTCAGTTAATTAATACTCCATAAGGGCAACGATTTTATGTTGTCTTTAATGTTTTTATGTCTTTCAATTACATTTTAAAGTGTATTAAACGGATAGTTTACATTTTATAGACGTTTTGTGAATCATCGAGCTGTTTTGTAAGCGCTTTAAGCTTTCGAGGTTAACTAAATTATAAAATACTAGCTGTACCCGTCCGCTTCGCTGGGCATTTGAAATTAACATTATTATTTCTCACCCCCACAAAGATTCTCATCATTAACGCCCCCGCAACTGGTGCAGGGAGGCCAGCACTCATATAAATATTAGCCTATCCATTAAGTACATGTATTTTCTACATGGATACCAAGTTTCAAGTCAATCGGATGCATGGTTCAGTAGTTATAACGGAACATCCGTAAAAACCACTGTAGATTTATATATTAGTATAGGTATAGGTACTCTTTTTTTTTTTGCGTATGCGTGCCACGAATTTTTTTGTTTTTTAAGAAATTCCTGATATTTAAAATGGCTGCGATAGAATGTCAATAGTGAATTATAGTTTTAGTAAGGAGTTTTTAATTTATAATACTTATGGTTCTGAAGAAAGATAATTGTTTGTAGATAATATACGAGAAGAGCTACAGATGACTATGTGTTAGTTATTTGTTTTTTTTTTTTTATTGCTTAGATGGGGGGACGAGCTCATAGCTCACCTAGTGTTAAGTGGTTACCGGAGCGCATAGACATCTACAACGTAAATGCGCCACCCGCCTTGAGATATAAGTTCTAATGTCTCAGTATAGTTACAACGGCTGCCATCCTTCAAACCGAAACGCGTTACTGCTTCACGGCAGAAATAGGCAGGATGGTGGTACCTACCCGCGCAGACTCACAAGAGGTCCTACTACCGGTAAAAATAGTAATGAGGGGTGGGATTTGCTAACATCTGCCCGAGCGCCTCCGAAGGAGACCTATCAACTCAAGAGCAGCTGCTTCGCGAATGAATCTAATTCTTTATACTCTATGGGAAACGGAGAATTATATTAAGCGCCCAGACAAAGAGCAAACAAACTTGTTAATGACAGGAATGTTTACACGATGTGGGAATCGAACCTACGAACTTCGGCCCTGCAATTAGGGGCACTGATTACAGTTTTTTTTTTATTGCCCGTGTAGGCAGACGAGCATACGGCCCACCTGATGATGAGCGGTCACCGTCGCCCATGGACTTCAACAATGCCTGGGGCAGAGCCAAACCACTGCCTACCGTTAAAGCCGCTGCCTACAGCTCAATCGAGTCAGTCATTCATTGATCATCGAAATTGGATCTGCGAACGTCTGCTTGTGAACGAAAAGAGCTTAGGATCCGTCATATAAACATAGAAATTTTACCTGATTTCCGTTGTTATTAGTAGGGAAAGGTATTGAAGGTTTGTCGTAGTTGTAGCCGTTGTTTGGAGGGAGGTATTCATTGCTTTGCGCAGTTGCCATGGCAACCAGACAAGCAGCCACCAAACCGCACAGCCACATCTGTCGAGAAGAGATAACAACAATTAATTTCCTGTTGCATATTTTTGTACACGCACAACTATTTTATACACAGCCTAAGGAATCAAGCCTGAATCCTGCACACGATATTATTGGGTAATTTATTTCACTGTGTCACATTTGAATTCCAAATTCTTTTGTTTGCAAAACATCTCGTTAACAGTCGCCTCATTATTCTGTGTTAAATGAATAGACCGACAAGCATACTGACAGATAGCACGACGGTAAGACTGCATCAAATTTTTTTGCATACAATACGTTTTATGGGAAATAATTTATCGATGTAGCGTTAGCGTGAAACTGTAGTTATTAATAAATTTATTCAATTTGAATTGAATTGGAAAACGTTTGTGCTTAGTGTGTTCCTAGAGAAACGGTTTTAACCCGCTGATTTTCTCGCCAGATCTTCTCAGTGGATCGCGATTTCGATCCGCTAGTAGATTCTTTTTTTTATTGCTTAGATGCTTGGGTGTACGAGCTCACAGCCCACCTGTGTTAAATGGTTACTGGAGCTCATAGACATCTACGACGTAAATGCCGCCACCCACCTTGAGATATAAATTCTAAGGTCTCAGTATAGTTACAACGGCTGCCCCACCCTTCAAACCGAAACGCATTACTGCTTCACGGCAGAAATATGGTGGCAGCTACCCGTGCGGACTCACAAGAGGTCCTACGACCAGAAAAAATCGGCGAAATACTGCTCTTGCTAGGGCTAGCGTTAGCATTTCTCTCAGAGCCCGCGAGCTCACCAACCGCTCCGCGTGAAGTTGGAATAGTCCGTAGGCTACCAACGATTATGTAGGGAAAGAAAGAAACGATTAATTCAGTTGTTAAGTTGTAACACAGTAAAAACGGTCTCATTAAAAAAAAAGGAGGTAGTTTTAACATTTTCGTTATAACCGTCATCGGACTTTTTGGCGGGAACGCGAGGAGTGAAGTTGTGTGATTTGTTTTATTTTGTCTATTTAGTGTTTCTTCAGGGAAAACACAAATGTGGAAAAATGAAACAAAGCCGCTGAACATAACTTCTCGGGATCCTCCAAAAAGTAAATGACCACCATTTTACTGAGATTATATTTCATCATTTCACCATATCATCTCATGTCATTTAATTTCATCCCAGTTGATTAATGTCTTAAATTAATCATATTCATTTCATTTCACTCCATTTTATCATTTTTCATAAAAATAAGAATATAAATTAAAATAAGACATGACTTAAAGGTCTTAGTTACCAGGTCATAAAATCCATTAAAAAAATAACCGTCATCGGCACAAAGAATTCGAAATAATCCCACAAAATAACTGAAGTGTTAATGTTAATTAATGTGTCGTTTTTGCCGACCGTACCGCATTCTAAGTTACGACACGAGAACAATGCGATAGAGCAAGGACAACGATCGCATGAGCACTCGTAGCTCGCGACGGCTCCAAAACAATATTATTTTGTTTCAAGAGTTAGGTATTTCGCTCCAAGCAACTTGTCATTTTGCAAAACGAAATAGGTAGCTTAATCAAACTAATTTTACAGTTCAAACATGCCTTTTTTAAATGGTCATATTATTTCCGACGTTTTCAATAATTTACATATTCACGTTTTTTTTTGTTTTTTTTCCTACCTTTTCTAGAAACCTCGAGGGGTTATTCTAGATTCACCGAGCTAGTAGGTGAGCTCGCGGGGTTCAAACCTGATGACGTTTTTAAGACGAACCCTAGCAACTAGAAAGTGCCGTGCTTCGCAGAATCTATTATCGGATCGGAAACGCGACTCACTGAGAAGATCCGGCGAGAAGCTCAGTGGGCTGTGTCTATGGGTTAATTTACTCGCCGAGCCCTTCGTCGCAAGCGACGGGTTGGACGAGAACGATGACCGGTGCTTGGGTTACCTAAAAGGTAAAACCTAACCTTCAACACAAAATTTAAAACAGTTTTTTTTTTTTTGTGGAACGCTTGAATGTGTGATTGCGAAACAAATGATTACCATCTACCACTGTTAGAGCATTCCCAAGCTAATCTCACCATCGGCCGGACAGTTATTTTGTAAGCACTATGAGAAACGGCTGTGTCAGTTTCGTTAATTTCTAGTAAAATTTAAAAAAAAAACGTTACCCAACCGACCGGACCTTCATGAGCGGATAGAATTAAACTAAAATAATCCCAGCCCAGTTTTTTACCGGTGGTAGGACCTCTTGTGAGTCCGCGGGGGTAGGTACCACCACCCTGCCTATTTCGGCCGTGAAGCAATAATGCGTTTCGGTTTGAAGGGTGTGGGGCAGCCGTTGTAACTATACTTAGTTCTATACTTTAGAACTTATATCTCAAGGTGGGTGTCGCATTTACGTTGTAGATGTCTATGGGTTCCAGTAACCACTTAACACCAAGTGGGCTGTGAGCTCGTCCAACCGACTAAGCAATAAAAAAATTTGTGGGAAACGGAGAATTATATTAAGCGCCTAGACAAAGAGCAAACAAACTTGTTAATGACAGGAATGCTTACACGATACGGGAATCGAACCTACGAACTTCGGCCCTGCAATTAGGGGCACTGATTACAGCTTTTTCTTTACTGCCCGAACATACGGCCCACCTGATGGTGAGTGGTTATTGTCCCCCATGGATCGTCATGGATGTCGCCCTCAGCAATGCCTGGGGCAGAGGCAAGCCAGTCAATGATAATCAAAAAACGTATCGGTTACCGCATATATTTGTGGTAAAAGCCATAGTCTACCGAAGGAGATAACATGATGCTAATTCTCGCCAAAGACAGTGGATAGAGAGCCATACCGAATTTGCACGAATTGTGAAGATATTTTAGTAAAAAACTATCAACTAGAATAGAGGATTTTTTTGGCCAAGATCAAATCATCGAAGTTTGTTAGAAACATGTGGACTCAAATCATTTTTTTTTTGTAACTGGCTCTATTGTTATAGAATTACTTCTAAACAAAAAGGTCCCCTAAATTTAAGTCTAAATACAGTAAATTGCGTAAAAGAAAAACAATTTATTCCACGTGAAACGTTTTAAGCCGTGAGAGATCCTGCCCCATTATTGCGTGCGCTTTGGCGACGCAACGTGACTAGATTTAACGTTGCATTTCCTGCTTTCCAAACGATTACATTTTGTTTTACGATTAATCTAAACATTTAGGTACTGTTATTTTTAACTCGCGTTGTTAAAGTCGTACGGGCCATTAACTCTTCATTACTATAACTGCTTATTTTACGCAAAATTTATACATGCTTTGTTTTATAGAACACAAGCGGCCCGCTCCGGCTCCGCTCGGGTCTTCAACAAAAATTTCAACGATATTTGACGTGACTAACTTTTTTCAAAAAAGATTATAGCCTATGTCACTTGGGAATAGTGTAGCTTTCAAGCAGTGAAAGAATTTTTCAAATCGGTTCAGTAGTTTCGGGGCCTATTCAATACAACAAATCTTTCCTCTTTATAATATTAGTATAGAAGTATAGACTAGAGGTGCCTTGTTGTTTTATTAGGGCTCAACTTTTTATTCAGGTAGATTGAAAACTGTTGTGCGATGACCTTCGAACGGTCGCCGACAAGAGATGGATGAAGAGAGTCGTAGACCGGGCTCAGTGGTGTGGATTGGGAGAGACCTATGTCGAGCAGTGGACGACTGTGGGCTGATGATGATGATGATGAAAACCGCTACATCTTCCCTGAGTACAGAGTTGATAGTGATACTCGTGTGCTTCGTAAACTATCCCTTGATTCGTGGATCCTTTGAGACGGTTAATCAGGCGAAAAGCGAACGCACTATCGTATTGACTATCCCTGATATACCAACGTTCCCCGGGGTATGTCTTTAACTAGGAAAAAAGTATCTTATGTACATATTCTTTTTCTATCGCATCATTTATAACAATAGTGACGTCACAAGTCACTATTGTTATAACGTCCTTTACTGCATCCAGATTCGTAAACTTCAGGAGAACATGGTGCACGTCTACAATGGCTAAGCCCTTCAAATATTAATTATTTTTAATTTTAAAGATTCAAACTCAAATGCTCAATCGAAACATGTCATTCATGAAAACCGTGACTCAGTAAATTATTAATATCCTTATAGCTAATATAATCAAAGTTAAAGTTAAACAATTTAGCAACAAGTTGACCACATGAGATCAAAATATATGATTACGCAATGCCGACATACTTTCCACAACATAATAACATATAACAAGTTATGAAATATCCCAAACAGAAATGGATGCAAGTGGTTGAAATACACCTCTCAATTTGACAGCCAAATTGCATATCGCAAAATGGCTACCCTAATAGTGTTGTAATATTTTATAAAAATGTTATCAGAGGTTAGCAGTATTCAGCTTGCTGTTTTGTGACATAATAACTTAATAATGTTTTCTTTTAAAAAACAGAATACCACCATTCGTACAATGAGTTAAATGACAGCGAAGGAATATCATTGTTAAATCAACCCCGAAAATGAAATCAAAATCACTGTGGTAAAGCATAAAAGCTTGACAGTGATATTATCAATCATACAACTAAGTTAGCGTTAGACTTCGGCTCATCTTGGATGGCGAATGCGAATCTTCACTCATAATGTGGAATGCACCCCAGCCAGGTGGGCCGATAATAAATGAAATGTGATATTGATAATTATGAGGAATGACGTGCTTGTCAGCCTCATACGTCATGAAGGTAGTAAAATTTAAGAGTAATGGATTTTACGACACTGAAGTAATGTACTCTCTTTCAGTTGAAATATTTAAATCTGTTTAATTTTGTTTTCATGTGTCTAATTATAAATTCGTTTTTAACTCCAGCTTCTATATATGCAAATATGAAATATGGTTAGTAAACAAGGTAATTATGTACGAAGTAATTGATGTCCATTTGTTACGAAACGCTAATGGCGTCAAATTTTGGCAGCCAATGTTTTGACAGTTTGAACTTTTAAAAACGCACGTGCGTTGACCAAGAAATCGTTGTCGTAAAGCCTATAATT